AAAAAAAAAAAAAAAAAAAAAAAAAAAAAAAAACAGGCTAGGAATGGGGCTCAGTGTAAAGACCCTGGATTCAAACCCCGGAGAGGATATAGGAAAACAGGGTACAGAGTGCCAGGTGTGGCGTGGAGCATCCAGGCCTGTCCCCCTACTCTTTTGTCACTGGGGACCCCACTGGGGACTCACTCCCAGGGCCATGGGCGCAGCCACCTGCTGAGCCTGCCAGGCCTTCACAGCTGCCAGCCAGCCCACACACATCAGCTGGGTTCCGGGCCACACGGACGCCTCCGGGCCAAAAGTGCGCAGGAGAGCCAGGCGTGGCACAGCACACCACTGCCGGGCGTCCTCGTGCCAAAAACAAAAGTCAGAGGGGCACACACAGGACAGGAAGCGGCAGGGACAGAAGGACAAGCGCGGGCCAGGCTGGCTGGGGCTGGTTCCAGATCACAACCCACAGGGGCCAGAGCTTTAGCTCAGTGGTTCTTCCGCCTGCCTGGCAAGCACAAGGACATGAGTTCGATCCCTGAAACCAAAACAAAAAGACAGGAAAACAGATCACAACCCACAAGCCGGTCAGGCTGCCTCCCTCTCCCAACCAAGGCCACTCTAGAACTTTTCAGAAAGGTCCAAAGAAGGCGTGGAGAAGCAGCCTGCCCAGCCCCTTGCTAGGTCTGGGGTGCCCTTGCCCCACAACCCGCCAGTCCAGCCTCTCCCACAGGCTCAATTTCCATCAAGGGTGCCAAGATTAAGCCTGGTCTGTCAGAGTCTAAAATGTCACTCGAGGTTAATGGCATTAATAAAATATACAAAAACCAGAGCACAGGAAAGTCACACCTCAGGTTAGACTGGAATTTCCAATGTTAAAAATTAAACCTTGGCTAAAGTGCAGCTCAGTGGCAGGGTGCACAACTGTTCTGCCATCAGCGCTGTGAGAAAAAATAAAATGGGATAGCCAGACGTGGGGGCACACACACCTGTCACTCCAGCACTCCAGGAGGCTGAAGCAGGAGGATCCCCAGTTCCAACTTAGCTACTTGGGGAGACCCTAGCCAAAAATTTTTTAAAAGGGCTGAAGATGTCACTCAGTGCGCAGGCCCCGAGTTCCATCCCTAGTATCACAAAAAAATAAAGAGGAAACAGACAATTGCACCAACACACAATAACAAGTTATGCAAGGGCTGGGGATTTAACTCAGTGGTTCCGCCACCTGTCTCGAAAGCACAAGGTCCTGAGTTCGATCCCCAATACCAAAAAAAAAAAAAAAAAAAAAAAAAACTTACATGAATGTGGTCCGCTTTACTTCCGGAGTTTCTCATTCATATTCTCAGAATACAGCTGATCACGTAATAACTGCAACCCTGACAGTGCACAGAGAGGCTCCTCAAAGCCCAGGCGCACAGTCCTGGCCCAACACCACTCCTCCACAAACCGAGCCTGTCCCTCTACCTCAGCCACACGCGGACACTGGGACAAGGATGGTCAGCAACTCTATTGTGGCAAAGAGGACAAAACGGTCCAAAGTGAGCAGTGATATTAAAGTGGTGGATAAATCACATCGCACCCAGACAAAAGGTCTTCTGTGAAGTCGTTGCGAGAACAAAGCAGCCATGGTGCTAACGTGCACCGGCACAGAGCTACTAAAATGCCACGACAAAGACGTGTGTGTATACAGCACGTTCACATTCGTGACATTAAAAAATAGCATCCGGCCCACTGCAGTGGTGCACGTCTCTAATCCCAGAA